ACATCAGGAGCAACAAGCAGGACAGTTCTGTATTAAATGTAAACTACTAATAAAGATTTTTTTTAAAGATCTAACAAGTTAAGGAAACTGGTTTTCTGTTTGTATCAGTTAAATTAAGATGGTTAAAAGCAGCATTTTTCAAAGACTTGTTAAGTCAACATTCAGCTGTAAAGTAACCACAATGTTTTGTTCAGAGTTACCAGCATTTCTAAGTTATTAACAAACACCATTACTAAGGTGTTTGTTACTCTGAGGTCCTACTGTAATTAGCTTCTGGCCTGAAACATGGGGATTTCTAGGTCCTATAAATGTTTTATAACACAAGCAAGGAGAGAAGGAGAGGGAAGTATGTCATTTTTTCTGACCCAGCTCATTCAATCCTATACTTATAAAATAACTAATGATGTGTATCTTATAAGTGTTGAGTGGCATCAATGCAACTAGGGCTTTGAACAGTCCTTTATTACAAAGGACATTCCTTGTTTTTTCACCTCTGTACAAGATCAGGAGCTGCTGAGTGCTGCAAAAAAGCATGAGATACTAGCCTACGATAATCCAGGATATTTAAACAAACAACATTTAGTATTATGGATAAATGGAATGGGGAAGGATGAAGGCTATTAATAAATAAAATAGTAATCACCATAATATCAGGAGGAGGAATGGGTCAAGGGTGCTAAAACCCAGTCCTTTATTTTTTAAATACAGTGCTGACAACTCTAATCTAGAACCTAAATAGAAGCTAGTTCCAAATCAGACCGTGTATCTTCTATCTCCTAGCTGCATGCCTTATAAGCATGCTCCAACAGTTAAAAGGAGAAACTAGCAATTAGCTCATCTCTAATCTTCTTAGTATAGAACTAGACTAGAAAGAAATCTGATGCTAATTCAGACATCCAGTTTCTTTTGGATATGCTTAGCAAATTATAGAGAACTGAGGAATAAATGTAGAAGAGACACCACATTATCTTTTTAGAATAAAAAGCAATGCTCTGAAGATTCCACATTGCAGAGTTATGTGGAATAAGAAATGTCACTTTTAATGAAGAAAAAAATGATCCAGAAAGTGATGAATGATCACAAACAAATGGCTAAACTAACAGTTCATGCTTTGTTGCTTTGGCCATTTAAATAGCTAAAACAAGAGTCCAGAGTAGTGTCAACTGCATAGTTACAACAGAAATCACAAAAAGTTTAAGCAATTAACTTTAAAGGTACAGTTGGACAGCAACAAAGACAATTCTGGCTTATTATCAGTGGTGGAATGTTGTTGTAAAAGTGTAATCCTTCTGTGGAAAATTTAGGTGACCTAAGTTATATTTCTTCTCTCTGATTCACTGCAGAAATGATTTGGCAAGAGTGTCAAAAGTGCAATGAACACATGTAGTGGCAAATTCTGGCAATCCAGGAGCTCTAGGCCTCTCTACTTTAAAATCAGTTTTTAAAGTAAGAGCTTGTGGGGATATGGAGTGGTGTATAGAGAGTGCAATGCAATTCAACTCGGAAAGGCTGCAAGGACATAACAGCAGGTAATTTATTTGGAACACAGTGTAGCTGGAATAGAGTTTTAGAAATTATATTGTAGGAAACTCTTGCTTTGGCAGAGGTACAGACTAGATGAAATCTATTCCATTTCCAGTGTTTGTAATTCTATGAAAATTTGGAGGATGAAAGGAAAGACATTTAACATTTTGCAGGCTCTGTAAGTGGGAACTCTAGAGAAAACAAATTTGATTGGAATCCACATAGTTCAATTAGTCTTGTCCTTTTGGTAAACTGAGACCATTGCAGCCAAACTGAACTTGACATTAACAAAAAGAAAGGAAAAATATCAGACACACTGCTAAGAGGATCTGAGATCACATTGGCTGATGTGTGTCAAGGTTGTCAAACAGCACAATTCCATATAATAAATATCAGTGCTGGAACACACACTGCAACATTTGTGGGTGAACGTGCAATATGTAAAAGGACACCTAGACGTTAGATGAAAGGGTAAGAAATAAAACCAGGACAGAAGAATATTCAAGTAGCAAATAATTTTGCAGGACTGCTCAAAACAGGAGCTAACACCAGGGAAAATTGGTATAAACTGCATCAGGAACAGTCTCAGAGGGGTAGCTGTGTTAGTCTGTATCTGCAAAAACAACAAGGAGCCCTGTGGTACTTTAGAAACTAACACATTTATTAGGGCATAAGCTTTCATGGGTAAAACCCACTTCATCAGATGAATTGTAGTGGAAACTACAGAGGCAGGGATATATATAAAAGTACAACAAAAGAAAAGTTATTTATCAAGAGTAGGACCAGTGTTAATGAGGCTACACAAGTCAGGGTGGATGTGGCTCATTCACAGCAGCTAATGGGGAGATGGGAATATCAAGAGAGGGGAAATTGCTTTTGTACTGTGTTAACCAGTTTAATTCTTTATTCAGGCATAATTTGATTGAATTGAATTTGCAAATGAATTGGAGGTCAGCTGTTTCCCTTTGTAATTGGATTTTGAAGGTTGTTTTTTTTTTTTAAATGGCATTTTGCTAAACTCTAATTAGTTGAAAACAAATCCCAGATCTTTATTGGTCTGATTTACAGAGCTGTTGAGGACCAAAAGTTCCCTCTAGTTTTTAAGGGTAGTTGCTAGTCCTCAACAATTTGAAAATTGGATCATATGGCCACACACTATAGTGGATATGAAGAGCCAATCTTAATCAGAACTATTTGCTGTGAAGGAACAGTACAAAAAGCACTTTAAAGTGCATTAGGAGAATGGTACCCCAGTGGTAGCAAATGCTGGAGAGACTACGCAAAAATAACGTGTGATTCAGAGACATTTAACTAGAGGTCAAGCACAAATTCACACTATAGAGCTTAACCCTGGCTGACTCAAATAGACTGATGATCAGATCGAAGTCAGAAAGGAATGTTATTTAATTAGTGAGGACCTTCCAAATTCAACATCTATTATGGCTGATTTTACAGCGTACGATTTGAAAATTGGTAAATTTCACATTTTCAGATAGTCTATGGTACTGTAACTATAGGATCCTGATCCAAAAGGATATGGGGGGGAGGGAGGGTAAATCGCAAACTTCATGGGATTGCCACCCTTACTTCTATGCTGCCTTCAGAGCTTGACTCTGAGGCAGCAAGTCCAAAGAAGTAGAAGAGGCAATCCCATCCCATCCCATCCCACCACCTGAGCAGTTTTCAGGGGAGGGACAGATCTTGTCCTTTCCCTGCTCAGTCGGGGGTAGGACACCCCCTTTAATGGGGCCCTTCCAGCAGCACAGGAAAGATAGGATCCAAATCCACAAGTCTCTTCCAGGTGCAGGAACCACAGGCTTCTGCTCAGTCTCAGACAGTGCCCAGCAGCAGGTGGAGGCAGGGAGAGGGGGGTCTGGCCTAGTCCCCCACTCCCACCACCAGAGCAGTTTGCAGAAGAGGGACAAGGTGAGGGGTGGGGGAATGGAAAACAATTCAATCTAAATAAATCACTGGATTTAAAGCACTTCATTTTTTTAACGATTTCACATAGAATATTAAATGCTTCAGTCAAAACATTGAGACAACAGTGGGCACTAATATCCCTGCCTTTATATTGACGGCTAGAAGATGATAACCTTCAGTGCTACACCACCACAATATTTCAGGTAGCTCAACTACACAGTGATAATGTGCATAAAAAACTAACTCCCTTAAACTTCATTTACCAACACATAATCACAGGCAGAAGCACCATTAGCTGTAGAGGTGTTCAGACTTATATCCTCTGTGGGCCGGTCACTAATAAGTGACCATGACAAATAGCTGAGCTGGTTTTATATTCCGAGGAACATGTACATATTAGCCAGTACATTGCACTTCCTGTAGGCTTATGTTCCTAAGATTCCTCAAACGTTCACCCAACCATTAACTTACTCACTAGCACACAAAAATCTCCAGTTTTCAATAGTAAAGGAGATTTTTGGTTGTAAAATGATCGTAGAATCCACAATTCTTCTTAGCATGATTCTTCTGAAAAATTGCTCTGTATCAAAGAAAAATGGCCAATCACACTCCTCTATCAAATACTCTCAAAGAATAAATATGTACCTGGACTGCAAAACAAATATTGCAAGAGAGGGATGATGTACGTGCACAAACTTGTAATGGTTTAACTAAGCCAGTGCAAACCCCTGGGATGACATGCCAATTTGGTTTAGGAGAGGCTTATTTCAGTGTAGTTTAAAGCTATGCCAAATTGATTTAAGTTAATATACGCCTGCTTTAAACAAAATACTACGAGTCTTCACACAGGGGTTTAGCTAAGTGGTTTACATTCATACCCTTGTGTAAATTCTCCCTGCAGACAAGGACACGGACTTTCTTGGCAGGATATTGAGTTACCCTTGTGTAAATTCTCCCTACAGACAAGGACACGGACTTTCTTGGCAGGATATTGAGTTTAAGGTCTACAGACAAACAAGCATACATGTGTCTGTGTAGCAAATATGTAATGGCCCAAATGTCAGGACTGTCATTGTGCTGTTTCAGTTGGTAAGAACAAGAATTCAACTGAGGCTCCTGTTTTGAAGTCTCACGTGCCAACCATGTGAGCTGAAAGTAAACCTCTATTATTTGTAGACAGCCTATGATAGATAGCTGATCAAGTCTGATTCCACCCAGTAGAAGGCAATGGACCCAAATATATGCTAGCCAGTTCATTGTGGTTAATGGCACTGGGGTACTCATTAAAGCAACATCCTCTGCATCACCACATTTTGCTCTCCCTCAAGTTAGCATAGTGCCTTATTTTTATAACATGTTATCCCAAAATTAATAATCCAGACACTAGAAAACTCATGTACTTTTTGCAAAATAAATAAATAAAACAAAATAAAATAAAATAAAAATCCATTTACTTCATTGTCATTCAAAGTTGCACATTGGATGAAGCATAACATTCCATGCTGGTTTCCTGAAAATTATTTGGGCTTCTTACCCCCTCCTGCTACACTTACCTTCTTAATCAGTCTCTGATGTTCTTCAGACTGACTGAAGTTTGTGCCCATTTCAAAGATGCTCATAGTTCCTTCCTCACACAAATTCATCCAGTAGTGATATTCTTCACGCCCTGGAAGTCTATCCCAGAATGTCTTGAAGACCTCCCAAACTGCTTCCTGGCACACTAGAGAAGCAGAAACATAAGTACAAGGTGGAGGGTTTTTGTGGGCACAGGCAGCTATAATTCTGTTTTCAGAATATTGCACTCTTTAATATATATGAAGTTTGCCTCTGTAAGTGGGCAAGGCTTTGAGGGGGATTCAGAACGGAAGATCTTACATATTAGAAAACATGCATTGTTGCCTTCTGGCTCCTTAATCTAAACTAAAAATCACATTGAAAAGCTGGATCCTGGAAAATGTAACATCTCCAGTACTGCCAAATCCAAGTATTCAAAAATCAAGAGTTAAAACCCATGTAACTGACTTAAAAATAATTTATTTGCCTTATGGCTTGAAACAGAAATGTTCACATTTGCAAGCATTCACCGCAACTAGAAACTTTAAGGTAAGATTTGCACGTATTCAGGTGACTCCAGGAGCAGGAATTTTGAAAAAAACCATTAAGTAGTACAGTAATTCCTTATTTTACACGTGCCCACTTAACACGTTTTCACGATAGCACGATTTTTTTTTTAGGGAATGTTTTTTGAATTACACAACCATCTCCAGAATAACACAATTTCCCCAGCCGGCCCATTGCCGGCAGCTGCGCGGGGCTTCCCCCACCCCTTCCTGCAAAGCGGCGGAGGGTTCGCCGCTCGCTGTG